CCCCCCCATGGATGTTGTGTCACTAAAGTATTTGATTGGTTCAAAGACAAATTTTTGTAGTACACAAACGATCATAGCAAGTTACTGGTAAATGTCATAATATCTCAAGTTACCACTTTTCTATGGGTCAGCTCTTTAAATTGTAACTTGTTTATGAGTCTTACTTTTTGAAAATCGTTTTGATGTTTAGACATACGCCTCTTTAGGGTGAGCAGGTGATTGAAGGGCGCCACTGGTAGGTCCTGCTTCTTTACTTTCCCTCAGTTGTTTCTTTCTGTTTGTCTGTCTTTAAATTAATTTGCGGGTGGTTGACGGGTGCGCTCTGGTGTGGTTTGCTCCTTTTTTTCTATCAAACATCAATCATGTTGGTCTCTCCCCCTTCTTTTCATGTCTGTTACTCTCTTGTACATTGTAACACCTCTACTTTTCGGCACTTATTTTATGACCTTATTGTGTTGCAAGTGCTGTAAAACTCTTTCATATGTCTTACTTTTTCCCAGGACTAAACGGCCATTAGATCTTTTGTGTCGATGTGCTCTCCTTTACCCAAACAATACAAAAAAGAAAAAAGAAATTCAAGGCTGTTTTGTGATTTTTGGAAAGTAATATTTTTCTGAAATTCCCTTTTTTTTGCGTGTCTGTTGTTGTGTTGAAACGGCGAGACTTTAGAAAAGGATCTCATTGCTAGTGTGTCATATTGTTTCCACCTTTAAAAAAAATTCTGGCAACAGGGCGTCTTGTTTTCGTTTTTTGCCCTTTTTGGACATGGTCGTCTGGAGATTGTTTTCCCCTATGAACATGGTCGTCTGGAGATTGTTTTCCCCTATGAACATGGTCGTCTGGAGATCGTCTTGAAATTGCTTTCCTCTATGAACACGGTGTTTTCCCCTATGAACATGACCGTCTTGAGATTGTTTTCTTCTATGAACATGGTCGTCTTGAGATCGTCATGAGATTGCTTTCCTCTATGAACATGGTCGTTTTGAGATTTCTTTCCTCTATGAACATGGTCATCTTCAGATCGTTTTCCCCTATGTCGTCATGAGATTATTTTCCCCTATGAACATGGTCGTCTTGAGATTGCTTCCCTCTATGAACATGGTGTTTTCCCCTATGAACATGACCATCTTGAGATTGTTTTCTTCTGTGAACATGGTCGTCTTGAGATCGTCATGAGATTGTTTTCCCCTATGAACATGGTCGTCTTGGGATTGTTTTCCAGCAGCAACGAAATCCCATATAATGTTCGGTTCTTATTTTCATTAGTGTGGTACTGATGGCACGTGTATTGTTTGTTTTTTTATTTTTAAAAAATAATATGATTGTCATGAGATTGTTTTCAATATCAAAGAAATTTCAAGTTAATTTTTCGTATTTCGTTCAAAGCTATAATGTTTGTATCAAAGGCACTTGCACTTCGTGTTTTGCATTAAACAAAGTCCTCTATATTATCCAACACGGTTTCTTTTTCAGGTTGATTTCTTCTGGGGTAGGGGTTCCTGAATTGTTTCAATGCAGCCTTTTTCAGTCACACGTATCATCATGTTTTGTATAACGAACAATGCCGGGACGCGGAAATCTTTTCGTTTTGTGCAATTTTTGCTAAATGCTATCATGAACGTGTTTCAAATACAAAGAATATAAAATAGTACACTCATGGGAGCTAAAAAGCTGTTTGCTATGCGTGTGTTCGCTCTGCGCGTGCAAGAGACTATACCACCCCCACGCCCCACCATTAATAAAAAATTCGTGCTCCCTGTTCTACCTTTTTAGTACCCCTCCCCGCCGCGCACCGGTTTCCTTTTACAGTTAAGTTCCTCTTGTGTCATGCCTTTTGTCCGACACCACAGATATTACAATTGATCGCTGTGCATGATACTTTGCTATTATAGTGTGGTGACAGGTGGCCAAAGAAAGCCACGCGCACAATACGAGGCAAGGGTAGGAAATGAAAAGAAAATGTTCAATGAAGAGTTCTTTTTTTAAATTGAAGTACAATGGCTTCTGCTTAAGAACCAGGTCATCAGAGGGGACACACAAACGCCGAATTACAACAACATAGCTCTGTTCTTACCGTTTTTGGCATTCTGGTTATCTCGTTTGTTTATTCTGGAATGAAATTCG